CGCATGCAGGTGCTGATGACTCAGATTTGTTACCATCTACTTCATATAGATAGCAATATAACGGATTATTAACATACAAGTCACAACCAACATTGTCCCAAGCACGCTGATCCATAAGATCGGTGATGACGAGTGTGTTAATATATTCATAGATCGACGACTATGTTAGCCAGATAGACGACAACTTCTAGGTGGTGTCGTGTGTTACCGAGTGTGAGGTGTCGTCGTTCGGGACAGCACTCCATCATTCAATTCAACGGATTATGTATGTGCACCTTCTGGTGTGCACGGTAAGCGCGTTCGGGCGCGTGGTGCCAAACTTCGTGGTCAGCGATATAACAAGAGAAGAGTCGCCGCTAAGGCCAGACAAATACATCTATTCATGCGAGAAAATAAAACGACTAGAGGCATGATCTAGCATATTACTCTCGCTACTGCAAAGTATTAGAATAGATGAAACCGATACTTATCTCGTTTATCCGATGTAAAGGTAGCCGATCCGCTTATGCACGTCCGCATAGCGTATCGGCGACGCGGCGTCGACGAGTTGCGTGCTGGTGTAGCTGTGTATAGCCCAGCACTGTCGACACGTCGTTGCACACCCATGTTGTTATAGGCTTGGTGAAGATCAATACGTGCACGTACTAGATTGGTTCATAAACCAATCTGTACATTCATGTGCATGTATGCTTGTCTGCTTGATCCTTTGCTCCTGGATCCTAGCCGCAGGGTTGCGTACTGCGTGTGGTAGAGCCGCCTGGCTGGTTGCCTCGGGCACGCGCGGCTGGATGCGTCCTGCTGCCGTGCATGCTCCAGTGCGGCGTCGTAACCGGCGACCATCAGCCACGCGTCGAGCGCGGCGTGCAGGTGCGCATGAGCGGGCGGTCGTGTTGGCCGGCGACGAGCAGTACACAGATAACATATCAATCTGATTAGTACTGAAATCAATTGATCTACTAGAACACTTACCGGGATTAGCGTATGAGCAATCTCGTGCTGATAACGTATTGAATAACTAGTGGCCTATTCGCTGATCCGGAGTAGAAGACAACGATCTCACGCACACAATCATATAGTAGATGACATCATCATAGCCAACCTTTCCCGATTCGTTCTTCCTCCCGTTTCCCTCTCTGAAACCTCGTATTCTTCTTGCAACAGCAAGATGTAGCTGCCGGAGGGGATCAATCGCCCCATCACCAGGAGCTTCGGCGCCCAGCTTCTAAAGAAAGCTCAGGAGAACGCCGTTGGGGTGAACAAGGTACGGGTGAGACACCCCTTCTGTTCCTCATTCTTCTTGCGAATTCAGAGCGTTTGGTTTGATCCCCAATTTTGATTTTGCTCGCAGATTGTCGTGCAGAACCCGGTCAGGAAGGAACCAGCTCCGAAGTCGGCCAGGTCGTACCTCGTCCCGATAATACCGCCAAGGCCAGCACCGGCGCCGGCGTCAACGAGAACAAGAAGCCTTCGAAGTCGGAGGGCACCGGCAGCAGCGGCAGCGGCGGCGGTTCAGCCCACAAGTACTCCAGGAAGAAGGTCGTGAACACGCTTACATCTGGGCTTACTGCTCGTTCCAAGGTGAGTGATCGATCGAACACCTATGCTTGCCTGCTTATTTCAGCATAATCGCATTGTAGCTGAATCTGAATTTGATGTTATTAATGGCAGCACTCGTGTGGCATTACTGAGAAGCCAAAAGAAGTCGTCGAGGACATCGACAAGCTCGACGGCGACAACCAGATGACATGTGGGCCCCACCATTTTTAGATTTTTTTTGTGGCTGACATGTGGGCCCATGATTTTTATTATTTTTCCAAGATATAATTGCCACGTCATCGCCACATCAATACCACATGGGACGGAGACCTAGTCAAACCAGCCACGTAGACGCCACATCAGCCAAAACCGTCTTCAAAACCGCTAGGGACCTCGTTTTCACCGGTTTTGACAGTTCGAGGGCCGGTTGTATCTGGTTTTGGGGTTCTAAGAACGAAAATCGGACTCGGTGTAAAATTAAGGGACTTGAGATGAACTTATTACACACGGCTCGGAGAGGACGAGAGGTCCTTTGCTTCTATCGTCGCACGGCCCATCTCTCAAACGAAGCAGGCCCATGTCGGCCCAGCAATGGAGAAAAAATTAATCCTGATTCGAAGTGGGATATATGGAAACGGAAGAAACGATATTTTGTTATGTAAAGAGAACCAATCCAGTTCCACAACGGTTATCCCGTTTGAAGTTGACAAAAATGAATATTAAGTTAACACACATGAAATGAAAAAACAATTAGAGAATAATTAATTAATTTTTGATTATTATAAACTTAAAAAATAAATTTATTTGCTATTTTAAAATAATTTTCATATAGAAAGCTTTTACACAAACCACACCATTTAGTAGTTTGAAAAATCTGCTAATGGAAACCAAGATAAAATATGTATCACAATACCTAACACTTGTTCTTCCTCCCAGAGTTTAGAGATGCTCATCTCATGCAGAACAATAAACAGATCGAACTCTGGCTTTTACTACATCCCAGAATCGACACCTCATCTTATCTGCCAAACCCAAATCAAACCCCTGAGTGACATCACAACCCCTTTGAAGATTCCGTGCTAACTGTTATGCTCCATCCATGGATCTAACTCACCTGCATGAACTCTCACTGCCATTGGCCTAAGTTTTCTCTCCCATTTCAACTGAATCTGCAAGACGTCAATTGCCAATTTAAAGTTGCAAACCCCAACTCTCACAGTCACAATTTTTATATTTTTTAGGCAGAAAAAAAGAGAGGCAAAGCTGGGCTTACTTGTGCCAAGCTAAATGTGCATTGTCTCGGTGCTATCTGAGTAGGGATACCTGAATAAGCAGCAACTTGCCGTCGTTGAGCTAGCAATTCTCACCAAATTGTGATACACTGCATAAAGAATTTTCAGGCTAATTCTTTTCAAGAAAAAGATTTTCATTTGATTGGTATAATTCTATAATGGGAGAGATCATTGTTATTCAGATGTCACACGCATGCGTGCCTCGTTGCGAAAGCGATGTTCTTCTCATCGTTTTTCTGATAAGCTTGCAGCTCAATGCAGTGATAATCTGTGAAGGAATGCGTCTACCTGTTGCTGCAGCAGGTTGTAGCAGATGTAACCGTGTAGATCCATCGTGCAAAAGGAATTTTTCTCAGGACTTTGGTGAAAAGAAGCTTTCGTCATTGACAAACTAGTAGTGCATATTGCGTAGCTTTGCTATGTGCGCCTGCAAGGAAACCACTAATTGCGTATGAAAAAAAAAAACTCATGATTCTGAAAAGTTGGTTAGTGGTTTCCCTGCAGGTGCTTTGATCGGTCATGTGGCAAGCAGGGGTCTACATTTTGGAATTGAAAAAAGAAGGATAAAAAATTAGGAAATTTAAAATGAAAAAAATTGCGAGTTTTAAAGTGATTTTCACTGAATCTGAACAATCTTTTGCTAACTTGAAACATATTAAAAAATTTCGGCCATACCCACCGTCAGAGACCTGAAATTTGGAAGGAAAAAAAATGCAATTCCTAATAGTGCTTATGAGTTATGATCTCCTTCTCATGATAAGAGTTGCTATGCAACTCCCTCTCATGATAGAGTTTGATATCCATTCTTGGTTTTGCACTGAAAGTAGTATGACTAGTACAAGGTTTTGCTATTTGCTCAGTGTCATCCAATACGGAAGGGCGGAAGGCCTGTAAATTTAGTGCACCGTATCACTTTATTATACATTCATATCAGGATGTCAGCAGCAAAGAGCTAGTGGCAATGTGGCATGGCTCACCAGAAAGAGAACTAATAATGCATCTGTAGCTAAAAACAGTATATATACACACTAGTGTTGTTAGCAATAGGATAACGGAATGAAGTTATATGTACTTTCTTCTTGCTTCAAGATAAGGCCAATATTCTAAACCACAATTTTATACATGCTTAGCTTTGAGACTTTTAGAGGCAAATAGTCAAGTTATGAGTTATCCATGAACAACATTATATATATGGTCTTTCTTCAGTACTTTCTCCGTTTCACAATGTAAGACTTTCTAGCATTGTCCACGTTCATTTAGATGTTAATAAATCTAGACATATAATGCTAGAAAGTTTTACATTGTGAAACGGAGGGAGTAGTTCACTTCAATCACTCAATCAGTTTGTTCTAGTCCATTGATGGACAAGTCAATTCATGCTACATCTTTTTAGATAATATCAAATTCATGCTATATATCTGTCAAATTATCTGACAATAAGATAATCAAGAATTGTGGTAAGCATGTTCTGTCCTTTTTACTACCCTTCATCTCACCTCACAACTAGTACTGTCATGGTTCTCTGGTTAATTGCTCTAGCATTCAAGCTGTAAAGTGATCGCTCCAGTTACCAGAAAGCAACAAATTTGGCACTATAATTCTCAGTGGAATCTGAATCTAAGTCCATCAGACATATTCCTGGCTGACGCCACACATGCAATTTTGCAAACAGTATGGTAATTAACAGTGATGTGGAGATGCTCAAAGGATCTTTCAATTGGTGAATCTTTTGTGGCAACTGGCAAGTATGGATGCTTTGCAGTGCACTTATATATTTAACTGATGTACTCAACTCTGCCTTATTTTGTTTGATAATGATTAGCATTTAGGAATTCAGTCTTATCCAGTTGTCTACAGCAAAACCACCAAACTGATGTAGACACAATAGTTGGAGCTATAGCGCCAAAGTTAAATACTCCCTTGGTTTTTCAATATATGACGCATTGACTTTTTAGATGTGTTTAACCATTCGTCTTATTAAAAATTTAATATAATTATCATTTATTTTATTATGATTTGATTTATCATCAAATATTCTTTAAGTATGAAATAAATACTTTTGTATTTGCAAAAAAATTTGAATAAGACAAATTGTTAAACATTGGTAAAAAGTTGAAGTTAGTATGACTGTGTTGATGTTCAAAACGATATGTACTATTTGTAAACGTGGAGTAACGAGAAAAGAAGAGTTTAAAATTTACAAAACACAATACACTCTCTCTGATGGACAGAGGATGAAACCAGTACAAAATAGCGTAGCAGCTTTGATCAAACATGATAAAAAAAAAAGCAGAGATATGCATGCCACCATTCTGAACATCTGACGAGGTGACAAACGCTTACATTTTGCAGGGAAATTAACACAGTAAAAGTTCATCAAAAATTTCCTACCAAACAAAAACCTCCATTTCCAAATTTAACGAGCCCTTAGTGCCATCGTCGTCGTAGTGCACGCGCCGTAGACGAACAGTTCGGATATCTTAAAGCGGAGAGATCGACGTCGACGCACGCATGGCGATGGCGACGGTCGCCGTCGCGTCGACGCGTCGACGGCCGCAACCAAATTATTGGGGAGTTAGGTGTCCATCAAACCGCACTAGCTCCATGTCCATTGGAGTCCGATGATGACCTCACGCCACCACTCGAGCGGTGGTTCTTGCTGCGCTCCGCGTCATCGTCGCCGTCGCCGTCGTCTTCTCCGGCGCCGGTGATCTCCTCCGCCTCCGCAGCGGCGGCGGCGCCTTTGGAAGTGGGCAGTGATAGCTTGGTGTCAGCCTGCTTCTCCTGGGTCTCCTTGTGCTTGCCCCAGAGCACGGAGTAGAGGCCGACGACGATGAGCGCGGCGCCGACGACGCCGCCGAGGTAGATCTGCTCGGAGAGGATGAAGGAGCCCATGACGGCGACGATGATCATCATCAGCGGGCTGAACGCCGACGCGAACACCGGCCCCGTCCTCTGGATCACCAAGCCCTGCACGTAGTACGCGATGCTCGACGTCACGATGCCCTGCATGTGTCCAAGAAACCAAGAACGTCAGAGTGCGTGCTAGCGATCGCCGGCGCCGGAGATGGGAGAGGATGGTACTGACGGCGTAGGCGGCGGCGAGGAGGTTCATGTCGAAGCCGATGGCCCAGACGGAGGGGCGGCGCCGCTCCATGGCGAAGGTGACGACGACGGCCTGGAGCGTGCCGACGAGGCAGATGAGGGTGGTGAGCGACAGCTGCGCCGAGTACTGCTTGATGGTGTGCGTCTGGAGGATGAAGAGGGACGCCCACGCGAGCGTCGCGACGATGACGAACATCGAGCCGAGGAACCAGTCCCTGCCGGAGATGGCGGCGGCGGCGGCGGCGGGGGCCTCCGCCACGCCGGCGCCGGCGTGCCGGCTCCACGCCATCTCCATGAGCGGGCCCTTGTACAGCGTCATCAGCATCGCGCCGGCCACCGTCACCAGCGTCCCGGCGATCTTGGCCTGGCACCTCACCTTCTTCAGCTCCAGCTTCTCCATCCTGTCGAACACCATGCATTAACGTCAAACCAGCTCACATCTAGCTCTCGATCGCCATGGATGCATTGAGAGAGATCGTACGTGGTGGAGAACGAACCTGAAGATGACAGCCATGACGAAGGTCATGGCCGGCAGGATGTTGCTCATGGCGCAGGCGAAGGTCGGGCCGGTGAACTTCAGGCCGGCGTAGTAGAAGTTCTGGTCGATCACCGGTCTGCACCAACAAACCAAGAACAGGTGAATCCAATGTGTCATTCCAGAGACAAGCTATGCTTCCTTTTTTCCTTTGCAAATTTTCATTGGCAAATATTTCCTTTTCTTTGGCAGAAACATAATCAATCCTCCATTAGAGTTTGCATATGAGACTATCTTTTAAAACATAAGCTGCAAGATTTTCTTATTACAAATTGTAGTGTAACTACATTATAACTAGACTAAGTCTCACTAAACATAATCAATCCTTCATTAGATTTTTTTTATTAAAAGCGCTGCAAGATCATACGCAATGGAGTTTGCGTATAAGATTTCTTTTATTAAAAATCTTTAAAATATAATTATAGTATAATTATAGTGTAATTACGCTGTAAGTAGACAAGTCTCACTAACCCGAGTAGCGCCAGGATGAAGATTTGGAAGAAGATCGACCACGTCATCTTGGGCCTCACCTTCCTGTCATAATGCCATTAATTTGTAGCGACACGTCAGCTTCCGTTACACATCATATGATCAATGTACAATAACAATCAAGTCCGTGCACCGACCAGTTCATCCAGAAGCTTAAACCGACAATAAGGGTACATACGAGTACACGTTAAAACAACGGATTGTATACCTCTCGAGGATCAGCGCGAAGGGAGCAATGGAGATGGTGGCGAAGGCGTGGCGGTACACGACGAGTACGTAGTGGCTCATGCCATGGTTGAGTGAGACCTTGGTGATCACGTTCATGCCGGCGTAGCCGAACTGAAGGCAGATCATGGCGAAGTAGGGCTTGGCCTTCTCCATGAAACCGCCGCAGCAGGAAGCCATGGCGATCTTAGCTTCCTAATTAATCTCGAAGATTGCAGCTGATGATTTCGGTTTCAAATTAAAGATGGCAAGAACTCAGAGATCTAGATCGAGAGGCACACACTCTGAATTGAGCTGATCTGAGCTGAAATGGCCGTTGCTTATCAGTCAATTTATAGGGTTTATGGGCAGGGGCATTTCGGTGATTCTCTGTGAAAGAAATTTGTGTGAGTAAGGTGGTCCCCACTTTGGGTGGGCCAGTGCAACGCTGGATTCGTATATTCCGAAAATGTTTGCGCTCCTGCTCAATGGCCATTTTAGTGGATTCCGAGTAGAAATCCGGACCTATCTTTTTCTAAAAAAAAAAAAGGGGAAAAGGAGAAGCACAATTCAGATTTTTAAATGAGGTAGAGGGTTCTCTGTGCCTTGCAATGCGTTAATACGTGGAGCAGAGCAGCAGACACGGAGAATCACGCCGTGACGGCAGCTTTGCTGGAGCTTGAAATTGCATGCTGATGCTCTCATACTTACTGGTTGCGGTGCACCTCTGTCACTCTGTGGAGATTAGGGTGCGCTCGGTCCCGAAAACGGATTAGCTCATTAACATATTAATTAAATATTAGCTATTTTTTAAATCAACTATCCTATGAATTTCTTTTAAAAAACACACTGTTAAACAATTCCTAAAGTGTACGCGTGAAAAACAAGTGAGTAGAAGTTGATAACATATATTAGTTTCAAACACACCATAAAAGTTGTTTTGGAAGGTATTTTTTGGGTGCAGTTTATAAATCAAAGATACATGATTAAGCCAACTAAAAACAAGCTGCGGTAAAGAAAAACATTGATCACTTACCCTAAAGATATTTTAGATGCAAGTCACTTTTTTAAATGCCAAGATTTACTCTATTCATACATCCCATATAACCCTAACACTAGTCAACTCTTCTCACTCTCTGTAACCATCCATCGCAACACTTCGATTCTCTCCTCGCTGCTTAGCAACTATTGCCGCATTCCTCCTAACCACATTGCATTCTTTGCCCCTCCTTCCAACCTCATTCACTGCTCTCTTCCATCTCTACAATTTCAGTGCCATCGCTCGTCCTCGTATCTCCACCATCTAACGTTGGTCCTCAGCCACCTCAGAGTTTACTCAAAAGCCACCCTTGTTGCCCCTCTATCGACCAACCCTGAAAACCTAACCTGGTGATACATGCTTTGCCAGAGTTCATATGCCAACGACATCTAGAGGCTCACATAGGAAGTCATTGTCGTAGTCATTGGTGAGTTCTCCCTGCTATCCCTTCAACTCTCACATCTCTCTCGGTTGACGGATGAAGCAATTTTAGTGTAAAACTTTTGTGCCTTTTTTTGGCGGTCTAAAGCCAATGCCAAATGACAATTAAAAAGGACAAAAAAAACCTTATATTAATGCTAAAATTATTCTCTAAAATTTAAAATTGTATAACCGTGTCTCAAATAAGCAAGCTCTAAAGTTCAAAGTTTTATGATGACTTGCAAACCACTTATAGGTTATTTATATGGTGGTGAGCTAATATATCCCTCCTCTCGCGTGTTATAACATGTGTTTTTTTTCCCAATATAACTGCTATTTAAACAACAAAGTTGAATTGTTAGGCAGGCATGGTGTTCATGGCCTAGACTAGACAAGCCAATATATGAGGCAAACTTTTGAGTCATGGTCTCCTCTGTTTTATGCAAGTATTGTTTCTTTGAGATGAGAACCAGCAAGTGGTCACTACATCACTTTCCAAAAGAATAATGCAATATTCTTCAGCGGCTTCGGACAGCTACATCTCCAAACACAGCAGAAGAAAGGAATTTCTTTTGTGTGGAGTCCATGGCGGAAAGCTATACTACCCCAAAGTTCAAACGGATTATTCACTCCTTCGATGAGACTAGACAGAGAACATATGGATGATCTGATAGTTCTATGCATATATATTCAAACCAAAGCCCAATTCAGCTTCTTAACTCAAACAAACAAAAGATATTTTTTTACTTCTTTTTAGTGCACTTGACTGTTTTAGAAGCTTATTTTCTCCTGAAAAGCCCAAAAATTGGGTGTACGCATTAAGGAATGTTAAAGTTGGTGCACCTATATTTGTATATGCTAATCTTTGACACAATCACATTAATTAGTTGTAAGCACATTTTATTTATTTGTATCAGAACATAAACATTCAACTAGTTCTTGAAACGGAATAAATGATCACCTCATATAGGAGTAAATACTCTTATACAAATCATGTGAAAGGTGCTTCTATTAATAAATACGACATAATTGGTATGGAGTTAAGCATCTCTTTTTGGCTTTTGCTGTCTGTGTCATCCACGCACTCACGTCGTTCGTATCTTCTGTAATCTGGACATAGCCTGAACTGAAGCTGTACTTGTCCTCATCCATGCTTACAGTATGTCAGTATCACTTGGTAACTGAAGTTTTTTTATTTTTAGGTTTCAAAAAAAAGAGTTTTTTTTTATTTTTTAGCACTCTTAAGCTCATAGTACAAACACCACGACATACAAACAGTAGCTAGCCAAGGAGCAAATAACCTGCAAAATCCTACTAGTGTAGTAGTACATGATAGTACAGCATTTTTTTCAAACTTAATTACTACTCCATCCGTTTCTAAATAGCGACCACTTTGATCCCGATCGTTTTTAAATTATTAGACTAACGTGAAAATAGTTTGATGCTTATATTTAGAGCACAATAATTTTTAATAACATAATGTTATTTAGTGTTTCTAGATTCAGTATATATAAAAGAAGATGAATTATCAAAGTTCAAAAAGTGAATGTTCTCTATTGTTCGTCAGAAACAGAACAAGTATCAGCAAACAAAGCTTAGGGCAATTAGCTTCTCTCTGATAGCATTCAGGTAGGATAAGTAATACTGACAGATTCACCTCAACGAGAGGGTTGATCATGTCATGTCATGTCATGTCATGTCACAACACACAACACGTTGGACAGCAAATACTACCTCTGTCCCAAAATAAGTGTAGCTGTGGATATCCGTGTCCAACGTTTGACCGTCCGTCTTATTTGAAAAATTTATGAAAAATTTAAAAATATTTAGTCACACATAAAGTATTACTCATGTTTTATCATCTAATAGCAATAAAAATACTAATCATAAAATTTTTTTAAATAAGACGAACGATCAAACGTTGAACGTGAATAGTGTAAAACTGCACTTATTTTAGGACGGAGGGAGTACTTTTGAATGCACGCAAGTTTTTTGGGACTTTACTGGAACCGTGGAACGACACGTTTACTGGGACGGAGGAAGTATAAGCAGCAAATCACTGGTTGACATGCATCATGAATGCACGCAAGCACAGATCATCAGGTGACGCAAAAGGGGGGAGAGATTCCTTTCAGAACAGGCATTTCCATGCTGGTCTACGTTAGTCGAATCAAGAGAAAATCGGACCTTTCGATTTAACTACCTGAAGAATGGGGTAAAAAGTCTAAAGGAGGAGGTAACATAGTGATCAGACTAGACTACTCGTCGACTCTTTCAGTTCATAAATATAAATATTTTAAATCTTTTAACAAGTAATTAGAAAAACTCTGATGTCGACGCTCATTACAAAAAGAAGAATGGTTAGGGTAGGAGGTGATTGGAAGTAAAATCCTCTCTCCGGGTTGATAATATTTATCGTTTTGAAAAAGAGCACGGTCTCTAAAAAAACAATTTTGACCATTATTTTCTATTATAATATATATAAAAGTGGTAACAAATATATGATTTAATTAAAGTACTTTTAAGACTAAACTATACATGTACTCACCATATTTGAAAGACAAATATTTAAAAATGATTTATAATCAAAGATTCTAAAGTTTGACCTTAGTTTTGTCTAAAATGATAAGTATTATCAGCCTGAAGAGAGTATAAAAAACTTTGAATAGGAGACAATCGACGAGATACATAACACTCTCTAAGCACTTATATTTGTAAACAAATTTTAAACTGTTTAGCTAAGTGAGCGCAGCTTAACTGGTTAGGTTCATTATGATGGAACCAGTTCACTCGGTTTAAATTCTATATTTGACCGTGTACTCGTATTTATAGATAATTATTTTTTTCAGTGGTAGGCGACATACTCATTGACAGCTGACTTCGTCAATCTCAAAATATACCAACCCAATCTTTCGGAGATGCTCATAGATATGCCGATCCAATGTTTCGGAGGTGCTCATAAGGTAGGACGTGTGCATACATTCATAGGGGTGAATGTGCATACATTTGCACTGTGTTTCTAAACAAAATTAAACCGTTAAAATATTTATATTTATGGACAGACAGACCAGCGAGCAGTGGCATCCGGATGCAGATGGGAGCGCACAAACGGCAGTGGCGAGTGACTGGCTCTCTCACTCTCTGATTCCGGTTTTTGGTGGGGAGAAATGGAGAATGATGCGTTGACAGGCGAGTTAATTGCCACTTTTCAGGCCTAATTACGTTTTGTTTAATCGTGCAGTGCATGGTCGGAAATCGCTCCAGCACGTCAATCAGGTCTCTGCGATCGATCTTGCGGTTTGTTACATGAGCACATATTCCGTGATGGTTGGATTTATCATATTGGTCCTGAAGCAAGGGAAATGGGGAGAAAAGATGCTCACTATTTGTAGAGTAGAGAGCAAAACTGTAAACATTGTTTCATTGTCTTCAAAAAGACTTCAAAATGATGCTCATGATATGCTAGTTCTTTTTTTATATTACAGGTAAGAAAGTATACTTATGTGTCCCATTATAACCGGTGCCTCGTGGACATTCACCAGAGAGATTCAGGTATTCTCAAATCTCAATGCACGCAACCTTCACCATCGATCCTTTGAAGGCAGCGGCCTTTCGGCGGATTTTTTTACCATGAATATGGGTATACTCGTAAGGTACATAACCTTTCGGCGGATTTTTACCATATAGATATTACTTCAAAGGTATATGAGGCTGAACTGGACCTCCATTTGAGGGGATAGTCACATAACATGAATCTATAGGCGCAATGTACAATACACCGATGACACATTGACATCTCAATAGCAAATTATTTACAATAAGAAAATAATATAGAAAAATAGAGAAGCGACAGTGTTTTAGAATTTAGGGCATATTGTCAAATTAAGGCGAACGTTAATAATTTATGTAGTGAATTTAGTAGAATCAAAGATTGTAGGGGACTGGTGCTGTTGGCTGCGCATAAAACCCTGCACCTTTGTGGTTTCACTGCTCAAGCTGAAGCACTAGCATGTTTAGAAGGACTTCGGTCTTTGGGTAGGTATTGAATAGATTCATATGCTAATATTGTTGGAGAATCTTAAACCATAAAGTTTCATTGAGATGTCTTGGTCGATGACGATTGCAAAAATCAAAGGTGTCATACAATGTCTTAAAAAGATGCTGTTATAAAAGTTAGTCGATATAGCGGAACGACGACTAACCTTCCCGATCGCTTCAATCATTGATCACCCAAGACATGCCAGATGAAGACACAGGAACACACGATATTTGTTAACGAGGTTCAGCCGAAGCCTACATCCCCGGGGCTCTGATTATGGGCGCTCCTCCCCAACCAATATAGCTCCTAGCCGTCCATGGCCACGCCGCCATCCTCTCCCTGCGTGTCTACGCTATATTGTAGTCGCCATGGTTACATTGTGGTGCCCCCCTCTATTTAAGAGAGATGCCGGTTTACAGAGTTCGACTCTAACTCCACCCCCTAACACCTATTACAATTCCAAGTCTAACTGTAACCAAATAGGACTAGTATATTCGACACCTATCCTAACAAACTCCACCTTGACAAATATACGCCACCTAGAAGTAGTAGAATCACCATGCCGATCCACCTGTCCTCCAGACTTGGGTTGTCTTCTTTGCAGCTTCACCGCAAAGCCGCCCGACGAGTCTACGCCAGACCCACCGTCTTCAAGAGACTCCGATATCCCTGTAATTTCTTCCTCTTGAATCCACCTGCAACAGTGCTCCACCTTCTCACCTATCATCTCAGTCGTCTTGCGAAGCGAAATTGAATTCCTTCTTAGCTATTCACTTCCATCTTCGTCTTAAATTTGATTTGATCTAATCCATGGATAAATAACCCTTGTCATCACCAAATAGATAAACCAAACTCACCAGACATGAAGAACTGAACCCTTTCTTCCTTGTCGTCTTATGAACTGAACTAATAAATCCATCATTCACGCTTTCCCGCATCCGTAGACTGAATTCCTGATAATTTGAGAAAATCACTGTTGCTTTAAATCACCCGAAGAATTACCACGATAGCCTTCGCTCTTCCTCTTCAGTGACGCAGATTTCCATATATCCCCATCATACCGACCCGCATATCCTAGATATAGCCTGTACTGCCAAACAGTATCGCTGATCCCATCAACGATATTTGACCCGCTGTTGCCCGGGTCCTTTTCTTCAGTCCTGGCTTAACTCCATATATCTCAACTCCTCGTCGAATCCCAGATATATCATGTTCCCGCCAGATAATTCGATATGCGACCTGACTAGCCTGTTGCCACCAGTCTACTCGCCTTTTGCACTTGCAAACTATCCAGACTGTAGAAACTTCTTGCCCTTATTCTGAATCCATTCACAAGTTTCTACAACGAATCACTATCCGTTGTACTCGATCTAACCGTCCAAGCTTCGCAGTCTAACCAGTCCATCGGTCTGACCACCCTGCCGGCCCAGTTTAACCGTCATACATGCACATCTTACGCACCTTGTCTCGACAAGTATACTCATTGCATTGCCTTGATCACCATATATCTACACCATGTTTGTTGTCTTGTGCCCATGAACCGCTCCGCTGAATCACAGCCTTGCACCAATCACCAAGTCCCAAACTCCAGGTCAATTTGATCTGTCCATGCCGTACGCAACAAGTTGACTCCTGCCATCTCGTCCACCGCATTGATCCATCAATTTTCCTGATCAAGTCCGTTTAGTTGTTTTGATCTCCGTGCCCTGCTTGATGTAGCTTGCAACTCCACTGCACAACCTCCTCTCGTGCGCCACCAAGCCCACGTGAGAACGGCATGCCTGCTGGTGCTTTTCACGTGACCTTGTAATAGTAGTGATATGTTTATGCAATTAATGATCCACATGACCATAGTCCATGCCCAAACTTGCACTACTAATCCCCATTGCATGCAGCCAAGTAATTGCCCTGTTTTCTTACACGAACTGAAGCCAAAAGCACCACGAGTCCACGATCCGCTCTGCCGATTTCGATACATGAGTTTGCTCCTAACTCCGATCCACGCCTACCAAACAGAGTCCTTTACGATGTCGACTCCGAATCCACATCTTCTCCGAGTCAAGTTTGATCTGCGTCTTCTTCTGCATTGAACTCAATTTTATCGTCTTCCTTGCTGCGTCATCGTCTGCATCATTAAGCCCATGGCTTCCTGTTCGTCTGTAAGCCAACACGTGTATTTTGTGCATGTGTATAGTACATACTCCATACGCACTGTCCGTGCCTCCGCACGCACCGCAGTCGCAGCCCTCGTGTTCACCGTCCACGACCCCGTCGTCATCGGCCCTACACGTCCGCCGCGCCGCGCCACGCTCGCCAGTTTCGCCCTTCCATCAGTGGCCTCCCTGCCGCCGCGGATCCGCATTCGCCGCGGGCGTCGGGCACGCCGTACATGGCGCTACCCCTCCAATCTCTCCTGTCGCCTTCGGCCACGCCCGGCCCCGTCTTCCGGTCACGTTCCGCCATCGCCGGTCTGATCGCGAGCGAGGTCATCGCCTCCGCAATGTCCTCATTGTCGCCATCGATCTCATCGCCACGGCTGACGATCTCCTGTCGATGCGCGATCCCTGCCTCGTGTTTCCTCCTCCACATGTCTTCTTGATCCAATACTGAAACCTTCAGCTCTGATACCACTTGTTATAAAAGTTAGTCGATATAGCGGAACAACGACTAACCTTCCCGATCGCTTCAATCATTGATCACCCAAGACATGCCAGATGACGACACAGGAACACACGATATTTGTTAACGAGGTTCAGCCGAAGCCTACATCCCCGGGGCTCTGATTATGGGCGCTCCTCCCCAACCAATATAGCTCCTAGCTGCTACGAGTCCATGGCCACGCCGACATCCTCTCCCTGCGTGTCTACGCTACATTGTAGTCGCTATGGTTATATTGTGGTGCCCCCCTCTCTATTTAAGAGAGATGCCGGGTTACAGAATTCGACTCTAACTCCACCCCCTAACACCTATTACAATTCCAAGTCCAACTGTAACCAAATAGGACTAGTATATTCAACACCTATTCTAACAGATGCAAATGCACGAGATAAGAAGAGAAACAAATAGGGTAGCACATGTTTTAACTCAACTGACAATGAGTACTAGGTTTTATGCGGAGTGGAGACTTTGTTCTCCTTCAAGAATCCTATACTTCTTAAATCAGGAACATAATCCATTATTCAGTCATTAATAAAACTCTCTTTAACTAGAAAAAAAAAAGAAGACCGTTCAAACACAAGAAACTCTTTTAAACCCTTAGGGATGTCCTCTCATATGTCTTAAAAAACCATATAAATAGCTATTAAAAATTATAAAATAAATTGACAACATTCGTACAATATATATAAATATCAATTCATAAAATTTTAAGTCCAAACTCAACTCACACATTTTAAGTACAAACCCTTCAAACACTGCTCTTCTGAAGTTGAAGCTTGGGAAGCAAAGCCCACAATGCCCGCAAAGCTTATGGTCCAGTCGAAAGCCCACAGTGCCGGCCCATTAGGCTAAGTAAGGCCTTGGGCTCCAGGTTGGCCAGAATTTGTTGGCCTACTACACGTGATTCCAGCGTTGGAATCATCACGATTCTCGAGGCGGCGGCGGGTGCCGAGGTCACGGACTCCCATGGCGGATCATGTCTCACTGTTCAGAACCTCGCTTCTCGCTTTGACTTCGTGAACCTTGTGCAGCTCCGAGCTTGTTCGCCGCCGCCGCCGCGCCGTGCGTGCAATGGGGTCTTCGGCCGAGCCGCCGCCGCCGTGCCACGTCGTGGCGGTGCCGTACCCGGGGCGCGGCCACGTCAACGCGATGCTGAACCTGTGCCGCATCCTCGCCGCGCGCGACGGCGTCACCGCCACCGTCGTCGTCACCGAGGAGTGGCTCGGCCTGCTCGGCGGCGCGGCGGCCGCGGCGGCGGAGGGCGGCGTCCGCCTCGAGGCCATCCCCAACGTCGTGCCCTCCGAGCACGGCCGCGCCGGCGACATGCTCGGGTTCGTGCGGGCCGTGTACACCAGGATGGAGGCGCCGTTCGAGCGCCTCCTCGACCGCCTCGCTCTCGGCGCGGCGCCGCCGCCGCCCGCCGCCATCGTGGCCGACACGTTCGTGCTGCCGTGGGCGGTCGGCGTCGGCAACCGGAGGGGCCTGCCGGTGTGCGTCCTCTCGCCGCTCAGCGCCACCATGTTCTCCGTGCACTATCACTTCGACCGCCTGCCCACGGCCACCGACATCGCCGGTACGAAGCTCTGAACATCATGAAAGATCGTAAATTTCGTTGCAAATGAAAATTTGTTGCTCGATCCGATGCAGATGGCGATGAGGTCGGAAACTACATTCCTGGGCTGAAATCGATCAGGTTTAGCGATCTTGAGCCCACACACACGAACAAGAACATGGTAGACCTCATCCTCGAAGCCTACTCCCATGCCAGAAAAGCACAGTGCGTCATCTTCACCTCCTTCTACGAGCTCGAGAGCAACGCCATGGACGCTCTCCGGCGAGACCTCCCTTACCCGGCGTTCTCGGCTGGCCCTTGCATCCCATACATGGCGCTCCAAGCTGACGAACACCACGCCGGCGACGAGGAAGAAGAGCCATACATGGCGTGGCTGGACGCGCAGCCGGTGGGCTCGGTGCTGTACGTCTCCCTCGGGAGCTTCCTCTCGGTGTCACGGCCGCAGCTCGACGAGATCGCCGCCGGCCTCGCCGACAGCAAGGTCACGTTCTTGTGGGTGCTCCGCGGCGACTCCGGCGCGCGAGACATCCTCCGCGGCGGCGGCGGCATGGTGGTGCCGTGGACGGACCAGCTGAAGGTGCTGTGCCACCCTTCCGTCGGCGGCTTCTTCACCCACTCCGGCATGAACTCGACGCTGGAGGCGGTGCACGCCGGCGTGCCGATGCTGACGCTCCCCATAGCGTTCGACCAGCCGATCGTCGCCCGGCTCGTCGCCGACGAGTGGAGGATCGGGTACGGCCTCAGGGAGAACGGGGACGGCGGCGGCTGCAGCGGCGTCGTCGGGAGGGAGGAGATCGCCGCGGCGGTGAGGAGGCTGATGGTGATGGATTCCGATGCGGCGGCGGCGGAAGAGGCGAAGGAGATGAGGAGGAGAGCTTCGCTGATGCGAGAGGCCTCTCGCGCCGCGGTTCAAGAGGGTGGTTCTTCCTACAGAGACGTGACGTCTCTGATCAACTACATTTCAGAGTTCAAGAACTGAAACTTGTTTGCCTGAAACCACTTATTTGAAATAAGCTTTTAGTTTGTTCTCTATTTGAAACTGAGGCTGTGTTTAGTTCAGCGCAAAGTTTGGATTTTGGTTGAAATTGAAGATGATGTGACTGAAAAGTTGTGTGTATAACAAGTCGATGTGATGGAAAAGAACTGAAGTTTGAAGTTTGGATCCAAACTTTGGATCTAAACACAGCCTGAATGCTACTGGTAGTACTAGATTTCTCTTCCAGAGCAAAGTTTCTTCTAGTTCATTTACAGGAGAAAAAAAAAGATATTCAAATGGTGATTTGGAAACTTTTATGGCTGTGCAAGTTCAGAAAAGGAACCAATATATAACTTACCTTCCATAGTCAGCACATTTGCTTATTTGCAGAGTTAAGAATTATAAAATCATTTGGTTTCAGTAGCCTCAAAAGTTTGATTTCATTGCAGAATTATACTTGAGCACACATCTTTTTGCAAGTAAATTGGCAGACATAAAAGAATTATGGAAAAAGAATACTTTTCATTCAATTCATACTTATGAAAAGAATTTATGAAGAGTAGTTACACCAAGGTGTATCACAGTACTGAATACATGAGTATACTCGAGAGTTCAGAGTAACCCCGCAAAAAACCCAACAACAATCGCTCTCAAGTTGTCTTGATCCAATTAGCTAAACCCACGAAAGAATCTTAAATACTGTCAAGAACGACATTCCATCACAGTCTAAACCGAATCCAGAACAGTACTAATCCTAGGCTAGGCAAACTGCCGGAGGGCGCAGAGAGACACGCCCAAGCTGCTCGGATGCGTACTTCCTGTATGCCGTCTTCAGCTTGCTCTCAGGAGCGGCAGCATGAGCGTTGACAAGGACCTTCGCACACTCCCTGCAATCAATCAATTCATCCCAACAATCAGAACTAATGTTAGTTTACAGATCATTGAAAAGTTCAGAAACTTCAGGTTCAGGAAAAACGGAAGTTCAGAAAGTTCAGGTTTCAGGGAAAATGGAAATTCAGAAAGTTGAAAAAATACCTGAGCTGTGATTCGGTGAAACCGGTGTGGTGCTTGAGCGTGCTCGTCCAGAGGGGACTCCTCTTCAGCGTACATTGAGCCGCGTACACCGCCGACGCGGCCACCAGCGACGGGCACAGCGACGCCATGCCGTACTCCTTCAGCGCCATCTCAGAGAAGAAGAACACCATGTTCTCCAGCTGAAAAAAGACACAATGTCTCTGATCAGAATACAGTTACAATTTCCATGGCACACCAGAAATGAAATCAAGTTCTTTGTTTCTTCTTCTTGTTTTTTTTACCTCCTTGTCGCCTCCGGCGGCCTTGATGAACCGGAGCAAGAAGACGTAAGGTGTGGGAACGGTGATGTTCCACTGCAGCCTGTTCAAGATGTTCTTCTCCATGGCGAGGATATGCTGCCGCGAGTAGGCGTTGTCACAGACGTGGATGAGGTCCTGAACCTGAAAAAATCCGTTCACCGCAGCGAAGCAGAGTTTTGTTCAGTTACATCACAAGTGTGAAGCAGAGATTGGGATTCTTGTTCGTCTTGTTGAATCAATCGAATCTGCGTTACCTCCGGCGCCCACATCTCCTCGTACTTGGAGGCGATGAGCATGGCCGCGACGCCGACGAGCTGCAGCTCCCTGCGCAGCACGGGCTGCAGCGAGAGGTACCGGTCGATGACGTACATGGTGAGGTAGAGGGTCTCCGGCATCAGCTCGAATTTGTAGTGCACATCGATGATCCAGTCTGCCAGGATGGCCCTCATCTTGGGGTTCACCTCGACCTGGCTGCTCATGTAGTCTGTCGGCCGGCGCTCCAGCTGTGCAAGAACAACACTGTCAGTTTCTGAACAAATCTGAAGAGGAAAGCTTCACTGAAACGAAGATGGAAGAATCTGAGGTTTACCTGGGCTGTCCTGTAGAAGTTGTAGATGTCCTCGATGTACTCCACCACGGCGAGCTGGTTGTCGCCGTCGAGCTTGTCGATGTCCTCGACGACTTCTTTTGGCTTCTCAGTAATGCCACACGCGTGCTGCCATTAACAACATCGAATTCAGATTCAGCTACAGTGCAATTATGCAGAAATAAGCAGGCAAGCACAGGTGTTCGATCGATCACTCACCTTGGAACGAGCAGTAAGCACAGATGTAAGCGTGTTCACGACCTTCTTCCTGGAGTACTTGAGGGCTGAACCGCCGCTGCTGCTGCCGGCGCCCTCCGACTCCGACGGCTTCTTGTTCTCGTTGACGCCGGCGCCGGTGCTGGCCTTGGCGGCGTTCTCCGGACGGGGTACGACCTTCTTTGCCGGCTTCGGAGCTGGCTCCTTCCTGGCCGGATTCTGCACGACAATCTGCGACCAAAATCAAAAATCAGGGATCAAATCAACCGCTCTGAATTCGCAAGAAGAACACGAGAAACAGAAGGGGGGTGTGTCTCACTCCGTACCTTGTTCGCCGCAACGGCGTTCTCCTGAGCTTTCTTTAGAAGCTGGGCGCCGAAGCTCCTGGTGATTGGGCGATTGATCCCCTCCGGCAGCTGGATCTTGCTGTTGCAAGAAGAACACGAGGTTTTCAGAGAAGGAAACGAGAGGAAGAACGAATCGGGGAAGGTTGGCGACGATGATGTCGTGCTGCTCCTTACCCGTCGACCACATGGGCGTTCAGGACGTTGCCGATATCGCCGAGGGCTTGCCGGTTTCTCGCACCAGGTCGGCCGGCGGCGGCGGTGGCGGCGGCCTTCTGCTTCCCCGCTGCGACTGCAGCACCTGCCCATTCGCCGGAGAAGAAGATTAGCAACAGGGGTTGCGTTTACACGGGGATAAATCGAAACAAGCAGATCAAGAAAACCTAATCAAACACAGGAAGGGCAGCATCAAAAATCCGTTCTTGGTGCATGAATCGGGCAAGAAAGGATGGAAACTGGAATCAGTTGGCCCTCGCAACATAAATCCGTTCTTGAAAAAGGATTCGAACAGACCTGGAACTCTCACCAAGCAAGACTCGACTACCAAGAACTCAAAATTTTCCGCTTGAATCGTACAGATTCGGAACATCAAACAGAAAAATCCGTAGCTTGGAACCCCAAAGAACCCCAAGTTCAGGCAAGTCCCCCCAAAGAACCCAAATCAAGAACACAGAACAAAGCCACCGCCGCTCACCTCTGTTCGCCGGCTGCGGAGCGGCAGCCGCGCGCTGGTGCCTCGTCGCCATGCGTACGGCCTCCTGTTGCTCCTCCTCCTCCTCCTCCGGGCTCCAAGAACGCCAAGAACTCCGGCGAACTCCCTCCCGGACCGAAGCAGGCGGCCGTCCTCTCCTCCTCCTCTTCTCTCTTCGCTCTTCCAACTCTCTCTCTAAAATTTCTTGTTCTTGCTTGATTTGCTTGGATCGGAGAGGAGAGACGCGGAGATGCGTTGGCGTGGGAGGAGCGGCGCGGTGGGGGGCTCGAGCTTTATCCGGAGCGGAGGGCGACGCCTCCAACGGTCGAGAGGATCGACGGCCGGGATGGCGCGGCGTGGATTCAACGGCTGGGATCGGACGCGGGCGGAGTGAACGGTTGAAACTAGCCGTTGGGGACTGGTATTACGGGCAAGTGTTCGGCGGCGGGGTCATCCATGGCAAGTACTGTAGTACTGTGTTTAAGCTTTGTTTGCTACTGAAAGACAGTGTTAGCCTGGTAGTAATTACTTAATTAGGAGCAGTACATATGTGTACCAGCTCTATCTCTGTGATTACCGTGTGAATGTGTTACCACAGTGCCAGCTATGTCCAAATGTGAATCTGAGCTTTTCGTCGTATGCATTTTCTTCTCAACCAATTACAATCTTATATCATTCAAATTCTTATTCTACTTCATTTTCTTGACCAGTCATATCATTTTCCTATTTAATTATATCTATTTTACTAATACATATGTAAAAGTTTAAAACTTCACCTATTTTGGGGGAGAGAGAAAATACCGTTGCCAAGGTTAACTTCTTCCTCAGAAATGCTGCATTGTACGGCGCGGGGGCGCGGGGCTGTTCAACGCGGGCCATTTCACCAGTGAAGCCCACCAAAACGTGCGCGGTGGAAGTCACGGCCCAATGCGCGCCGCGGGGCACCGGGAACGGGAGGGCCATGGCCCATGCCGATTCGATGGGCTGCCTGCCAAATTTGTGAGGGCGCGTGGTGCCGCCGAAATTGGCCCGTGTGCGCCTCTCCTATACAACTTTATTCTTCCCTGATTTCAGCTTCGAATTTGGACGTGGCTGTCCCTGCAAAACCGGCGGAATGCGGCGCACGCTACAGCGATCGCTGGTGTCGTGTGGTGTCGTGTCGTGCCAGCTTTAACTCAGTCCCACTCGCAGGGACCCGTTTCCTCGGTGACTCACTCACTCCCACACTCACATTCGGTTTTCGGTTTTCACACGACAACATCACGCATTGAACTCGAGAGAAAAGCTGCTTCTGTTTTCTAACGATCTTATTAAAACTCTTCTTTTTTTCTATGAGAGCATTTCCCAGGGAGGTCTAAGCATCTTTCGCAGTTTTATAATTGTTGTGAATTAAGGCCAAAATCACCTCTCCAACAAATGCCTAAATCCAGTCCCAAATTTTCTGTGTTGGCGAAAAAATATCCCAAATTATTTGTATTTTCAATTTAACCAAATCATTAAGCCAGATTTGAGGTAGGGATGGATGCCCCCAATAGTGAGCGTACGCACGAGAAACCGACACTGTCTCATGCTCTAAGGTCATTGGCAAGTGAGTCCACAACAAAGAGAATCCATATGTCAGTGACTCAAAATTATACGACTTAAGTCAGAGAAAAAAAACACGGATATTAGGGAATGACTAAGTCACGGAATCTCAATCCCATGTTCTTAGTGTTGTGCCCTCCACACGAATGATGTGCCGTTTAAAAAACCAAATTTAGAGACGTTGTTAGAGGGCGGGGTAATTTATTTGCCCAATTTTTATATGACCCTAATACTAACATTTTTAGATTTAAATGTTAGCATTTTTGGAAATGCTCAAGGTAGATGCAGAGGCCTTGCCACGTTTTTCTCTCAACTATGTACTGTCATCACTTGTGCAATACGCTGATGGAAAACGGGTAAGAAGAAGCCGTGAATCCAGGCACAAAACCGTACTACCCCTGCAGTTGACACGTCACGATCATCCCAAATTTCCAATAAACTTCACTCACTGTCCACACGAACCGACCCACCCAGTGTCACGGTCTACAAAAAAACGAGTAGAGGAATATTTACAAAGAGGAAAGGAACATCTCAACTGAAGTCTAAAGCCATTAAGCAAAGCTAGCTGCTCTGCTAGTAGTAATAGAAGGAGTAGATCGATTATGCTTGGCTCATACTGTCACCACTCTGGTGTCCCGTCTCCCGGCGGCCGGTTTCGCCGGCTTGCGGCGGTCGCGGCGGCCGCCGCCGCCCCACAACGCCGGCCAGCATCCGACGGCCAGAGGCGCATCCATCCTGAAAGTTCAGATAAAATTCAGATTTCAGGCTCAGAAGTTGCTTCCATCGTCTAAAAATTCAGAATTTTAAGGTGGTTGTTATATCATGCATGCTACTCTACTGGCCAACCATTAATTACTACAGTGATATTGCCTGTCAGTCCAGCATCTGAAATACTAAGATAGTAATTTATTTATGCTAGAAAAAAATTAACACATTTTAGTCAAATAAATCCTGTGGATGCTTTGGTCAGATTGTCATCCCCTGACCCATGTTTCATTGATTTCCTGGTGACGAATTGATCGATATTTTTGACTCAGTAAGCTGGCTAAGTCAAAAAGGATGTTTAGGGTCATGTGGTCTAAAAGGACTGTAGTGTTGCTTGGAATTGTAAAAGAAATTGATGCTGACAAAGAAAAAAAAAGGAGCATGCACTGATTACTCCTTTTAGTGCTGTTTCACTTAAAAAGAATGGTACAACCCATGCACTGGATTTTCTATAGGGGCTATGACTGATCTGTGCTGGAATTTGGAAAGAACACGGTGACTAGATGACACATGTAGTTTCCACAAAGAATGTAATCGTCTTACAATATAAGTAGAGTTGGATCTAATGCAGATCAAAAAGAAAGAAGAAAAGAGTTGGATCTAATGCAGTTGTAGTAAATGTGGAATAATTGGCCTCACTAGCAAAATCTACAGCTACTACATGATGATTATAATCTCATAATTGGAGAAAGATTTCAAGATGATTAAGAGTTAATTTGACTCCTGTTGCTAGGGTCATCAGACTGCATGATTGACTCTGTTAATTGACATGTATACTCCTATATGATACCAACCACCAATGATGCAAAATTTGCTTTCCAAGATAATTAATACTTCACCGTATATGTATAGCTACGTATCCCTGCATGTCTGCATCCATGCCGGAAATTCCGCCGTGTACAGTGTACAGCCACTCACCTAGCTTTGCCGGCAGCCGCCGTCGCCGGCGCGGCCGCGGCCGCGGCGGCGCCGGGAAGCGTGCCTCGGGCGGCGGGCCGCGGCGTCGTCATGCTCCTGGTGAGCAGGCCCGGCACGTAGAAGTTGAGCAGCACGCCGTCGCCGCTGCCCCCGCAGCTTCCCCTGCTGTCGCTCCGCCGTCTCCGCAGCCTCCTCTCCCTCGCCGCCGCCGCCGCCTGCTGCTGCTGCTGCCGCCTCGACGCCGCCTCCGCCGCCTCCTCCTGCTCGGACGACGACGACGGCCTCGCCTGGCCGTTCTCCGCCGCCGCCGCCGTCGGAGCTGCCCTGTCACCACCACCATCGCCTCCTCTCGGGCTGGGGTTGTTCGCCGTGTCCTCGACTACGACGAGGTCACTGAACGACAGCTCGCGGCCGAACTCGCCGCTGTCGCCGGAGAAGTCGGAGAGGAGGCCGAGCAGCTCCTCCTCCCTGCTCCGGCCGACCTGCCGCGCCCGTCCCGACAGCGGCCTCCCGCCGGCGAGCGCCTCCATCTCGCGAGACACGACAACGATCGATTTGCTGCTGCTGCTGCCGCTGCCGCCGCCGCGCGCGCTCTGCTTTTGTAGAGGCGGTAGTGGGGCGGACACAGATTGACATGTGGGTCCCACTTTCTCATGGGCCCACATGCCAGTGACCGTGCTGGAGAGGTAAACGCGACGTGTGGGCTTGGGCGGTTCCGTTGGGCGTTGGCTGTTGCCATTTTTTTTCAACACGATGATCTAGAAGGCTTCTCCCGTTGTTTAGAGCAAGTTTAATCAACTACTAGCCGTAAATCATCTACAGTCAATCTAATAGTTAATTTATACAATCGTTAACTACATCATTATTAATTACACGTACAGCGTCTTAAAGTCCGTGCTATAGGCTTGCAGCTGACTATAAATCTATAGTCCGCTTCTCTTATCTTATTAACATATGCTTTTAGCTAACTTAATTATAGCATGTTATTGTACCTGCTCTTAGAGCAAGTTTAATAGTATAGCCAACTGCCGGCTCCAAATCATCTATAGCCAACTTAATAGCTAATTTGTACAATAGTTAGCTATAAACATATACTACATAATTAATATATGGTCTCACCTGTCATACACACATGTATCTTGGAGTCCGTGCTGCAGCTGGCTACAAATCTATAGCTCGTTGCTACTCTCTCTTCTCTTTTATCTCATCGAAATATGTTTATAGCTGGTTTATAGTCTGCTATTGTACCTGCTTTTAGTTGTGGTGCCAGGGAGAGAGAAGCTTCTGTTTGGTAGGGGGTGGCTGCGTGCGTTGGCTTAGGTAAGCCATAGCTTGGCGCGCATGATAGGCTATCAGTTTTCTTTTCGTTTACATGTAACGAAAGATGGAGACAGTTACGAATCAGATATACTTATGTCGACGCGTTACGAATAACCGAGCAGAAAGGCAAAATGATCGGGCAAAGATAACGAACTGGTCGTGACTTGAAGGAAACCAAAGAGTAGTACTCTAAAGCACACGTCTCTTATGGTGCAAATCAACAGTAGAGTTTGAACCACGTACGCAGTTAATCAATCCATCAGAGCGTCTAGATTAAAAACCGAAGTGAATAATACAGGACCGATTCCTCGACAGCTATATTAGTTGTCGCCGTGCTTGATTTCTGGAAGGCTGGAACCACTCGTCGATCGGTCCAACGTACGAGATAATCAGAGAAAGAAGAGGAAAATTGCCAGGTGGCGACTCATCTGTAGCCTGCGCCATCCCGCCCATATGCAATTGCACAGCACTACACTAGCTAGCGCGCAGAAGAGCACAGATTTTCTAGAGATCGACCTTGGTCCTCGTCAGAATCGCTGTGTGCTCTTCTACAACTTTTGTTCTTCAGATTCCAGGAAGCTGTTGAATTGATTGGTTATTTTACGAGTTTGTTGGGGCGATTGACGCGGTGTGGACTTCTTTAGCTTTCGTTCGGTACTGCTGCTTATATGTTGGGTGGGGCAGGTGTGTCATTGGCTGGTGTGTTTAGGTTTTGGGATTAGATTGATGCTATTTTGTAGGGGTGGACAGAAAAAACCGAACCGAAAATACCGAGACAGAGAAAATCGGTCATTAATTCGGTCCTAGGAAGTGAAAGATCGAATTTTGTTAGGTTAATTCGGTTAGTCTCCTCGGTTATCTGAAAAGACCGATTTAACAAAAAAAAAAATCTAGATGCAACCTACAATCCACTAAGTTCAATAGGATTAAACTCTAATTTTCACATCTCTACTTCTTATAGGCATGCAACCTAATAAGAGTCTTTACTCATACGTGTTTACAAATTTTTTTTGTGATTTTTGTGTTGAAAATTTTCATTATTTCTTTGCATATATGAAAATGTTGTTGAATTTCGGTCAAGACCGAGACCGAATTTATCGGTCCTGATATTTTCGCGTTGAGATTCAGTATTCACTTTTCAAACACCGAAATACCGAAGATCAAGACCGAAATTTTCGGTCATACTGAATGCCCACCCCTACTATTTTGAACCATATTATTGTCTGGTAATATCGTTCGTCCTATCAAAACTTTACAATGTTGTTAATTTACGAAAACTTTAATATTATTAAATTTTGGAATAAATTATTTTGATGCAATCTGAATTAAGACTCCCAGTTTTGATGCCAAATCGTCCGTTCACACAAATTTTAAGATGCGGGAGACCGTTTCGGCCCACCCTATCTAGACCTTAGGCCATCTGGTCCAACCTGGCCGGCACAATTTTCATTTGTTTTCAATGTAAAAAACACATGGGCCAATCTTTTGGGCCTGGATTTGACGAGGTTTGGGCCGTTTGACTAGGTCTACTACCACGAATACCAGCCGATTTGTGCTTTGAATTTGGGAAGGGATTTGATTTCTACTTTTTCTGACTGAGTTGAGTTGATTTGTACTACATAAACCACTTGAATTGCTAAGCTCGTCGAAAAATTTAAATTACAAAGCCGTCATTACATTTTCATATCCACTTAACTACTCCAACACTGAACGGCATACAGAAATGCATTAAATCCGAGAGAAATTTTGAATGCAAAACGAGCAACAAATTTTCAAATTCAGAGCAGAAACATAAGCCGGGCCCAGCCGTCAGTCCTCCGAATCTCCGATGTCACCGGGGCTCTAGTTCAGAGACAGAAGCGCCGTTGATCGACGGCTATCGAGCAGCCGTAGGAACCTCGTGATCCGTGCTCCTCGCCGGCGCATCTCCCGCCGCCGCCGCCGGCGGCGGGCTTCCGCCGATCCCACGGCTCGCGGAGACGAACGCCGGCGCCGAGGGCGCCGGCAGCGTGACCGAGCGGCTGTTGAGCATGACGACGACTGCCGCCATGCCGGGGCGGAGCTGCGGGTCCTCCTGCACGCAGAGGAGCCCCACGTGGATGCACCGCAGAAGCTCCTGCGGCCGGCGGCCGGCGGCGGGGCAGCCGTCGAGCAGCTCCCCGGCGCCGCCGCGGCTCCAGTGCCTCCAGACCTGCACGCCGGCGAGCAGAATCAGTCTCAGACGGTTGTATATCCATGCAAAAGTCTTTCGAATTGCAGATTGCAATGTTTGTGATTAAACTTTAGATAGGATTTGCGCGGGGATTACAAATGCCAGGAGATCCTCGGAGTCATGGAGGCAGGTGTTGCGGCGGCCGGTGACGATCTCGAGGAGGAGCACGCCGTAGCTGAAGACGTCGGATTTGGCCGAGAAGATGCCGTGCAGCGCGTACTCCGGCGCCATGTATCCGCTGAACAAGAGGTATATCTAATGCTCTCAGCTCAAATTTCCAAATGATAGTAATGTAATACTCTATCAGTTTCATATTACATATTACAATATTACAAGTCGTTTGACCTTTTTCATAGTTAAATTTTATTAAATTTAATCAAGTTTGTAGAAAAATTTAGCAACATCTAAAATATCAAATTAGTTTCATTAAATCTAATAATATGATCGCTTTGTGTTGAAAATAATAATATATATTTTTTTATAAATTTGATCAAATTTTAAAAACTTTGACTAGAAAAAAAAAACCAAACGACTTATTATATGAAACGGAGGGAGTGACATTCAAGTTGAAAAAAGAGACCATATGCCATTAACAACTTACAACTTCTTAGTTATTATTTTCGAATCTTAAAATTAAATCAATGACATACTAAATTGAGAATTCAATATGGGTACAATTTCATATTTATCAATTCCGAATTCTTAAAATATTACTATATTTTAGAAAAACTAAAATGAGCTCACTGATTTAAAACCACCTGTTTTATTTTACAGAAACTCTTAATATGATATATGGTCATGATAATACAATTATCTAATTAATGGTCAAATCTTTCATAAGTTAACGTGGGAGTTTCCTTCGAGTGCTCATTTAGTATAGATATACTTTTTCAAGAGAGGACTCTAATATCTGAAGCACTTACTAGGTTCCAGCAATCCTGCTAGTGTTTGCTACGCTCGCTTCCATGTTAAATAACTTGGCAAGGCCGAAGTCTGATATCTTGGGGTTCATGTCTACATCTAACAAGATGTTGCTAGCTTTGAGATCACGGTGGATGATCTTGAGCCTTGAATCTTCATGAAGATAAAGAAGCCCTCTTCCGATCCCTTCAATGATCTTGAATCTTTGCTCCCAGTTAAGGTCTTGCTGTCTTGAAGTGTCTGAATTGTCCATGTAAATTCTGTTGATTAGCTTACTAAACAAGGATATATAAAATTAAATAGGCTTAGATTATCTGAATGAAGTACCGAAAAGGATAGTGTCGAGGCTTTTGTTACAGAGGAACTCATAAACTAGGATTTTCTCCCGTTCTTCGATGCAGCATCCTAGCAGCCTGACCAGATTCTTGTGCTGAAGCTTTGCAACCAAGACTACCTCATTCTTCATCTCCAATTGCCCTTGATGGGAAGTTGCTGACAATCTCTTCACTGCAATCTCTTGACCATTTTGCAGTGTACCCTGAACTCAACAGCATCAGAATCGGTAAGTTCAAGTAATGTAGATCACATTGCTTGCATAACTGCAAGTATGAATCTGTGAGCTACTTTTACAGGCTAATTAGAACTGAACTTGATTGTCAGGTTGCAGACTTAACTTACTTTGTAGACTGGGCCAAATCCACCTTCTCCGAGCTTATTTTCTTCTGAGAAGTTGGCAGTTGCTGCTCTTAGAGTACTCAAATCATACAAGAGAGATTCTGAGCCTCTCATTTCGTCTTCATCTCCAAGATCTGTTCATAGGAAAAACTGACGAGTTAAGCCCTTAAATATTCTTCAGATGTGCTATAATGCTAATGCAGTTGTTTCAAGCCTTGAGGACTTACCGACGCTTCCAATCATCATATGCTTATGTGGTTTTCTGTTCCTCTTGCACAGACAAAGGGCAATTAGCAGCAGTATTACCACTAGTAACACGGCAACTCCCACAGTAACTGGGACAATCACAGACTTACTGACTGTGTGATTACTTCCTGCATAAACATGTTTTACCATGGTCAAAACACAAATTCAGAGCACAAAAGTCATTGTACTATCAGAATCTATGGGTGCAAACCACTTTGTTCTGTCCACTCGACAAGGTTGAAGGAGAAAACACGGTTGAAGAAGAGAACAAGTGTTCGGAATTTAGAGTCAGAAAGTTGCAAGTTGCAACCAGCTACTAAGGCCTGGTTAAGGCCTGGTTTAGTTCCCATAAATTTTTTCCAAAAACATTACATCGAATCTTTAGATATATACATGAAGCATTAAATATAGATTAAAAAAATTAATTGCACAGTTGGGGGGAAATCACGAGACAAATCTTTTAATCCTAATTAGTCCATAATTAGTCATAAGTAATATAGTAACCCACGTGTGCTCTCGCGGTTTCCAGGTGAAATTAGTTTTTTCATTCGTGTCCGAAAACTCCTTCCAATATCTGATCAAATATCCAATATGACAACTAAACTTTTTTCTTTTCGCGACCTATACAAGCAAACGCGTGGAGAAAGCGACGCAAGTGCAAACGCGCACGGGAGAGACCTTTGACTTGACTTACCATTGACCCCGGTGGGCGTCGTCACCGGCGCCGGCGCCGGCGCAGGCGACATGGCCGCCTTGGCGGCCTGGGCGTCGAAGAACGGGTACACCTCGAACCGGATGGAGCAGCTCCTCGTGATGACCTGCCCGCCCTGCTTCCCGTCGCAGCATTTCGGGATGTTGTTGACGGCGCCGACGAGGCAGCGGTAGCAGTCGCCGGCGGCGAGGTCGCGGGTGCACTGCGCCATGCCGTAGATCTTGGTGAAGGGCGGGAGGTCGGTCTCGCCGGCCGCGAACATCAGCGGCGACGACGCGCGCGCCGCCGCGTCGGTGAGGTTGCCCATCAGCGTCCCCAGCAGCGACTTGAACCTCTCCGGCTGCGTCGCGTTGTCCGTGTTCCACCAGAGCTTCACCGTCCGCTCGTCGGCGGCGCCGGCGAAGCTCGCGTTGGAGTACCGGACGAGGCAGTAGTCGGAGATGATCACGGCGGATTTCTCGCCGGGGCACGCCTTGGCCGCGTCCCGCACCGAGTCGTCGAGGCAGGAGCGGCAGCTGGTGCCATTGCCGCCGCCGACGATGCCGCCGCGGCACTGCGCGAGGCCGTACGCCGTGTCCGGCGCCGCGCCGGTCGCGTTCTCGGCGAACCCCGACGACGATGCCGCCGCGGCTGCGGAAAGGGAGGAGAGGAGAGCGCGGAGGTTGGCCCCGAAGGCACCGTCGTCGACATGGCTGGAGTTGGTGCTGCTTGTAGTTGGGCAGTCGGTGATGCTGGCGTTCGCCGTGGTGGCGGTCAGGAGGAGGAGGAGGGAGAAGCACAGAAGGGCGCGCTCGGGCTTGACTCGCGGCCGGCACGGCGGCGACGGCGGCGGCGGCGCCATTGTTGCGGTGTTGCCACGCCACCGCAGGGCGTCGCGTCGCGTCGCGCTGCTTCGTCGCCGTTGAGCTCTCTCGAGGAGGAAGCAACAACTCGTTAATATCAATGCAAGTAGCGCGAGTTTTTTTACTATAGAGGCAAGTTCCGGAGGGGGGACAACTAGAGCTGCACCCGCGGGATCGGTTCCTCAGTCATGTACACGTATTTATATACTTTGTATTTATACTTGGATAAATGCAAAGTTTATATGTACATATACATAGTTATACATACATAAGTACACAAAATTATATACCAAGTTTTCATTTATGTATAAACTTTACACATCTTTACAATTTTTATGTATTATAAATTTATTCGTACAAGTATACATTTTTGACATATAATTTTTTAAATATATAGTCGTACAAACTTTATACATGTACGTAAAATGTTTATATATACTCCCTCCGTTCCAAAAAACAAGACAAACCCTGGTTTCCGTGTCTAACGTTTGACCGTCCGTCTTATTTGAAAAAATTATGAAAAAAATTAAAAAGATAAGTCACACATAAAGTATTAATCATATTTTATCATCTAACAACAATGAACATACTAATTATAAAAAAATTTCATATAAGACGGACAGTCAAACGTTGGCACGGAAACTTAGGGTTTGCTTTTTTTTTTTTGGGACGGAGGGAGTATATTTTATACGTATGGACGCGTATTTCTTACCGTACGGATAGTGATCAGGCGGGAGGTGGTGGGCGTGCCTGATTGCTAATTAGCGATATCGTATCCTGCATGCATGAAGTCACCTTTCTTTTTTTTTGGGTTTAATCAAGTCATATAGTAGATTTAATTTCTAATTTGTTACTTAGTTTCTATTGGAAATTTAAAAATGTTTAGCTTGATTTTGAAAACTTCCAACCATGAGTATTTCTAATAGAGAAATATCTATTCAGCTTCAAAAGGTATATTTAATTTGAAGCTTTCAATTTAATTTTAAAACTTCCAACACAAATTTTGAAACTTTTAACTCAAAATTTAAAACTTTCTAGGATTCTAGAGTTAACTTAAATTTGAAAAAAGAAAAAGCGAGGTGAGGATGGAGCGGACGCTGTGGCCATGGTGTTGGGGGCCATGGTTGGCAAACCCCAGGTGCTGCGGCTTGCACATTCCGCTATCAGCTGTATGTCGGTACTCGTAGGTACTCGTACCGTTCTCTCAACCAGAGGTTTCGTTCCATATTACACCTGTCTCACCAAGAACCCTATCTTCTTCGTCTGCGAGAAGAGGATCGAGCTCCCCTGCCCCTCCCCCTTATCCCGCTGGTCCGCTCCCTTGAAGACTAGAAAGAGAGCGAGGGGGAAAGAGGAGGAAGAAAGCTGGAATGGGAGAGAAGATTAGAGGAGAAAGCTGATATGTGTGGTTCATGTTGAGTTTCATATTGACTTGTCATGTCAGCTAAAACCTAGAACTATATACTTTCTAGAAGCTCTGCTTGGCAACTTATTATAAGTTGGGTGTCCGTGTTATACTATAGCCTTGTTTAGATCATCTGGCAAAATTTTTCACCATGTCACATCGAATATTTGGACATATGCATAGAGTATTAAATAAACGAAAAAAATAACTAATTATACAGATTGCGTGTAAATTGCAAGACGAATCTTTTAAGCCTAATTGCTCCATGATCTGACAATGTGGTGCTACAGTAAACATTTGCTAATGACGGATTAATTAGGCTTAATAAAATTCGTCTCGTAGTTTACAAGCAGATTCTGTGATTTATTTTGTTATTAGTCTATGTTTAATACTTTAAATATGTGTCCGTATATTTAATGTGACACGCCAAAACTTTATCCCAGTATAAAAACAGCCTATATATCACGGTTCATGGACGCAATTCAAACTCATTAAGATAACGGATTCCAGTTCTGTTCGGCCATACAAGCCCCGTCCATCGGAAGCGAAGTCCGTCTCACACCCTACAGTCGAATCGAGGCGACGAGGCGAGCGGCGGCGGCGGAGAGCGAAGAGTAAATCGAGGAGGAGGAGGAAGAAGGAGCTCTCCTGTGGCGACCATGTCTCTCCGTGCCCTCGGTTCCCTTCTCACCTGTAGGAGATTCTCGCCACGCGCGCAGGCGCAGGCGGAGGCGGAGTCCTCGCTGGGGATCTTCACTCAGGCTACGGCGGGGAGGTCAGCACGCTCTCTCCGCGCCCTGGTGAAATCTCCGTCCGTTTCACCCGGTTCTCAGATCGAAAATTTTATTTCTTGTGTGCACTCGCAGCTCATGTGTTCTCATCTCTGTATGATACAGAGGGATCTCGCCGTTGGTGATGGTGGCGCTTATGGAGTTGTAGCCACGATTGCGTTGGCTGGATTGGCCACAATCCTGTATTTCAACGAGAGCACAGACAAGTCAGGAGGTATGAATTGACAAAAAAGAAAAAAAAACAAAACAAAAGCCTTTAGATTTCTCTTCGTTAGTTAGCTCTGATCCAGGTGACCTAACCATGCCCACCACCACCTACCTGTTGATGTACATCTCCAGCTGCAGGAGGAAGGCAGGAAGGGGTTACTGCCTAAATCCCATAATATAATATAAGGCACACATGCGTTTTAAGATTCAACTTTTAAAACATTTGATTAACTATTATGAATTTTATTTGCTGAAAATAATACATTGGATTGATATTTGAATTTAATTTCATATGGTTATAGTTTACTTTTATATTGCTACAAACATTATACTATATATAAGAAATTAGAATCCAAAGATTTGTTTTAAAGACCGTACTAAGTTTAACCGACTTATATTATGGGATAGAGGATGTATGTGACAGGGGGGCTGTCAAGGAACCTTACCCTTACCTGAGTAAGGAAGCAGCCATCAAGGCAGGGTTTGTGGACAAAGATGGCACAGTTCAGTGGGCTAGTTATCTCGATCATGTCAACTTTCAAACACTCATGGGGGAATGCCTCCTTACGACGAGGAAGCATCTGCTAAGGAGGTGAGTGACTGGGAAGAAGCTGTGAAGCAGCAGGATGTGAAGGTCGATGAGGCAACCATGAAGGCCAGGTTTCAGGACTGGATGAAGGAGCACAACCGTTCGTACAGCACCGAGGAGGAGAAGGCTCGCTGCTATGAAATATTCAAGGAGACCGCGATAAGGGCAGACAAGGCTAATGCGGTAAGACCAATGGATGTCCCTTTCGCCCCTAACGGATTCGCAGACTGGACTGATGAAGAGTGCAATAGTCTGTATTCCCATCCTGGTAGCTTTGACTGGGAGAGGTACATCGATCACATGAACACTATGAATGCTAATGGGGGATACATTGGCAATCAAGACTGTAAAGAAGGTGTATATATATATATATATATATATATATATATATATATATATATATAGTAAATTTGTTTGGTGCTCCATGGTGCCTGGGCACCATTGTTGAAATTGAGTATATACCCAATTCAAATGAGCATAAAACTTTTTTAATTATTTAGGTATTAATATTAACTACTTTACTAACTAGTTGAAAGTAAGTTTGAACTGAATTTGAACTTGTTTTTGTTAGATTTTGATTCTAGGTATATAGCATCCATACATATAATTAGTTAGGTATGTAATCATGGATTGTGAAATAAAGTTAAATTTGAGTTGTTTTGTTGATAGGTATAGGTATGAATCGAATTCTTATAACTAGGTATATACTCATAATTTGAAAATTTTGAAAAATTTGAGTGATTTTGTGCATTTGAAACCATGGTGCCCGGGCACCATGGTGCCCCATATGAGTGTCCTATATATATATATATATATATATATATATATATATATATATATATATATATATATATATTATCCCTAACTTTCTCCCATAAAGTGTCGGTTTTTCCTTGAATTAAAATGAGCATCGGTGACTGGGGAATCTGATTTTGTTTTGGACATTGGCAATCGGATTGGTTTATACTGTTATTCCCATTTTTCTACATTAGAATTGGCTAATTACTGTTTCAGTTATCAATTGGTGAAAGGTGCTGATTGGTTACTCACGAAACAGCTAGCAACTAATAATTTGATCTTGAACTGCTAGTCATTGTGCGGCATTAGCAAAGTACTCACAGCTGCACTATAGAGGCACTGAACGCAGAACTGCTGGTTACTGTTAGCACGGACAAATATGCTTGTTTCTTCAGTCTAATTTTCAAGCATGCGTAGCCGAATAATCATTCAGTTTCCACTAAGCGGTTAGCTGTTGTATTGGTCATTCATGAAGTAGCTAATATGTCCTTCCTCACGCATTGCTCGTTGCAATTTGTATCTAGTTATCTCGGAAATTATTTGCAAAATAATTAGTGTTCTAATCACAAATGTCTCTATCACAAATTGTGTTCCTTTTTTCAACAAAATAAGCCAGGTCATTTCCTGTTATCGTTCTGATTTTAGCTGCAAATACATTTATCTGTTTGGAAAGTTTTGTAACTTTTAGCATCTTGGATGAAAACAGAAGGACAAGGAACTAGCTGCAAAGTATGCAGAAAGAAGGCGTCGAGCAGCCAACAACCAGCCGGAGAAGAGGTGATACTGAATTTCCAACCTTACAAAGAAATCCGTTGATTCCTTTTTTTCCCCCAAAGGAAAATTGCATCTTGTAATTTCCATTATCACTTGTCTGTGCAGGCTTACAAACATCTAGATATGATGAACCCTGAGTTCCTCTCGACACTCAAGGCTGTTGTTGGCCCGATCTTTCGGTGAGTTGTGATAACTACGATTTGGGAGAAACGTTGACGATCCGACTACAACCGTATGAGACGTTGTGTTGCGCCTTAGCGATCGATACACCTCTCCGTGGGTTGTTGATCTTGCCGGTGCAGATCAACCCTATTCCTGCAAGCAAATCGAAGAAACAAGCAAGAACAAGATAAAAGCAATCTGATATTGCAAATAGGAATTTAATACAAATGATAAGTTGGGGTTCCGAAGAACAAGCAGACGGACGGTCTAGCCGACACGCGCGCTACAAGCAAGTAGCAATGGCTAAACTTTAATCTATCAAAACCCAAGAAACCCTGAAGGGGTACCTAACTATTTATAGAGGTGGGAGGACGACCAAGAGGGTCCAAGGGTCGTGCTCCACCAGATTGGGGCGCACCTCACATGGGCCCCACATGGGCCAGGGTCCCAAACAAAGTTACAAGCCCATTGGCCCAATACAGGTGACGCATCACCTTGCTTCTGTGATTGCGGCCAAACGAGATAGAATTCCAAGATGAGGCTGGATCCGTTGGAAGGAGGACTTCGAGAGCTTTCCATCAAGTACTCACGGGCCCAAAACGGAGCACGTATGTAGATTTGGCGGCCGTTTGAAATCAGCAATGTAACACGTGGCCGAATCAGATTGCAGCACATGGAGGACTTGATCTTGATGTCTTCTTGTTGATTCATGATGTGAGCAATGGTCGTATCCATAGTAGCCATGGTCACATCATCCTCCCTTCTTCACGGAAAACCGTCCTCGGTTTTTCCATATGGTGCTCTTCGCGCAGTCCACTGAAAACAACCTGTTTCTTGCAATCAAAACAAGACAAACTCGAGACAATATGATTAGCAGTAACATGTCTCTCTAGCTTGCATATTTTATCCAGAACTACAAGATGTTCTAAATCCGAACAAATGTAAACTCTATGCACCAAAAATATTCCTCTATCATTATATTCGCCAAAGATATGAAAAATAGCATTAGTTGGACATGGCAAATCAGATTTAGCAAATAATTTCTCCTTCAAATTATCGAGCTCACAAAAATCATCAAACTGAACATAGCCCAAAGTATTTAAAGAAGATAGCAATTCGCGTTCCTCTACTTCATTAGCAATGTGAACAACATACTTATAATCAGCACACAAAGAAATAGTAGAACAGTTGTGGCATGGATATAAGTGAAACATTATCACACAACTCTTCTTTATCACAAGGAACAACAAGTAAATCAACTTGTGACAAAGGCAACTCAGCAATTGATTCCACTAATGGTTGCTCTACTATAGCATGAAAAGTGGACAAGTGTAGCTCACCTTGAGAATACTCACCTTCATTTCTCTCAGCACCATTTAATTTACCTTGCGAACTTTTTTCAGACATCGCAGGTGCTTCATCCTCTTTCTTCTCAAGTATACCATTCTCCTTTTCTTGGATGTGCTGATCTTCCTGCAAAACGTTAGTAACAGGGGAGACAAAAGATTGCTCCTCCAATGTTTGCACATCATCATTACATAAGTATATTGGGGATTCAGAAATAGGAGATAAATCACATTGGTCATGCATCCTCGCCTTTGATATGATCTGACTCTCAATGCTACGAGCAAGCATGAATAGGTGCCCAATATGATTATATGTCACATTATCAAGCAAAACCTGAATTTCAGAATTAAGCCCATTGAAAAATCTACGCGTTGTATTTTCATTGCACTCTTTGAGACCACTGTAGATGATACAGACCTTAAATTCATGAATGTACTCCCTAACAGTTCTGTCACCTTGTTTCAGATGTTCTAATTTCTCCCGAAGAGTACATTTGTAATAAGATGTCACAAAGCGTTTTCTCATCATGGTTTTCAATTCATCCCAAGTTTCAGGTTTATTACTAACATAAGTCCACCAAAATAATGCAGAAGAGGTAAATTTATTACTAGCAGCCTTAATCATTTGAGCATCAGAAAAATCATATATATCAAATTCATTGTCTACTGCTAGCTCCCAATCAATGTATGCAACAGAATCATACTTCCCATCATAGAAGGGTAACTTAGATGCAACTTGTTCAAAATTATAGTCATGTACCTCATATGTATCATTTGGAGAAGTCGTCATATCTCGTCGAAGGTGTAGAAGTCGATGTTCTCGTATTCCCTTACGCAATCCTGCCATGGTTAGTAGCAAACAAGAAACACACAAAAATATGCATGCTCCTATCAACTACTAGGTAGTGGCAGCTCAAATATCACACACACTCAAGCTTTTAACCAAGCTCTTACAAGTTCTTACCAAAGCAAGCGGAATGGTGATGTACACCGACTTAACCAAGCACCCCAATAGAGGTTGGATGTATCGATGCCTTGGCAAACACTTGTTGTACGGCTGCAATCAGATCTGTGGAGCTCTGGGTAGGCTTAAATATGTAGCAAAGGGATAGCAAATGCTCAAATCAGAGAATGCAAAGTTGAATAATGGTTCAAAGTCAAGTACCATGCTGGTCCTAGGCTAGAACGTACTAGAGACGTGAGCCTAGACACAAGCGATACCACAGGATAGCACTAGAAACAACTTAGGCGCACTCTGATAGATCATGTTCAGCTCAAAGATACAACTGATTTTTTTAACTTAGGCACACTCTGATAGATCATGTTCAGCTCAAAAATACAACTGATTTTTTTTCTTTCTTTCTTCTTCCTTCTTTCTTCTTCTTTTTTTTCTCTCCTTTTTTTTGGTGCGGCTTTTCTTTTCTTTTTTCTTTTTATGCACCTTCCTGCCTTTTCCTTACTTTCTTTTTTTTATTTTATTTTTTTTTCTGCAAAAACAACTCAAGGACCTCAATGCAAGATTACTGGGACTCAAATGTAAATATGAAAATTACAAGGACTCAACTGTAAAAGTCCAAACCAAAATTAAAAATTATACAAAAATGGAATGCTGAATTTATACTGATTCCGTTTTTCGAAACGGATCTCGAAACTGACACCAAACAAAAATTCACCAAGGTGTTTGACACAACTCGGAACAGGCGAAACCGACGTGAGAGGGAGGGAGTCGGACTCAGCTAAAGTGGGCGACAAAAGGAGATGGCGCCAACCGGTCTTCACGCGTGGGGAGAGTTTGGAAAGTTTGGCCTTAGATGGAAACTAACCAACCTGATTGATCTAGTCTGCAAAACTTCCTCCAAAAACAGATCTGTTATCTTTTCTTTCTCTCCTCTTCCTCGCGCAAGAGAAACAAGCACGGCCGAATACAGACGACAAACCCTTGATGCAACTCAGCAACTCCAAGACCGACCGACAAAAACTTCTGAAAACTAGAAAAACGAAACCCCGACAACAAGATGATTCCGTTTTCCTAGGTCCCGACGACAACAAAGACACGGCGGGGGTGATGACAGTGGTACGAAACGTGACCAGAACTCGAAACTCTAAACGAACTAAACGCTAAGACCAGCAACACGACTCGACAATGCAACACAAAACTCAACAAAGCAAAAACTGATAAAAACAATGCAATGGCACAATATGGCTAGGTACAGGATACAATTTTTTTTGTATGGCAATTTTCTGGTTATGGGTAGATAAAACTCACCGAGCA